ATATGCTTCCTTGTGGTAAAAATAGAACATTTTTTCTTAGAATAATCATAACCATAAATTCAGTCATTTGGACGCTCACAAATAGTCTGAAATCTGTCTCTTTGTCTAGCTATATAAGAAGATGCATCACTTTCAAGAGCACATGAAACTACTTGCTGTGTGCATGTACGATAAATACTTCCATGTTATATATATCAACAGTTTGCACAGTGCTTATGCATATACCTCTCTTAAATTAGCACATTAACCTAATCAATCCTAAAGATAAGAAATTTGTTTCCTGAACTATTCAGATTGTTTAATGTGTTTAACCATTTATTTTCTTCCTTTTGATGTGTAGCTGCACTTCAGTGTTTATAAGCATAATTCAGTGCTGTCACAACTGTTTAACTTATTACTCAGTAGTGCAGTAAAAAGCATACAGCTTATGAAATGGTGGTGTTACATAAATAGGTCATAAAATGGAAACTATTCCTTCCTTAGAAATGTAAGTACCACTGAAGCAGGTGAAAATGGTTTTCACCCGAGCTTTGTACTGAAAATTTATCTCATTTGACTGAGATTTCTTTGCTACTCTGCTTCCATTTATGAATAGTCAACTTTTTGCTGTTGAACAACAGAATTGCATGAATTCATTAATCAAATTCTATACATGTAAAACATTATTTGATCTCTACTCTAATGTTCTGTTTCAAGGAGTGCCTAATAGCGGATAATCAGTGTAAGATTAAAAGTAAGAAGGTTCTGTAATAGATTGCTTCACGTGACAATTTCTCAGAAAGATCAAACATACCAGATGTTAAATATCCATTGAACTGTTTTCCTTTTGAGAACACTTAAAAGATTAAACTGCAGAAATGTTTTACATTTCCTGTAATGTCATTTGTGATGTGTAAACTAATGTTAGAATCTCAACTTGAGATGAACACCCAGAAGCAAAACTTTATTGCAGTGTGTTTCAGGTCATTGAAGGATGAAAGAGTAAGGAAGACATGCCTCTAGAAATACTGTTCAATACAAGGCAGGCCCTGTCTTGCAGGCTGTTTCCCTCAACCTGACTTGGAAGCAGTTGAGGCAAGTGAAATAGCAGAGGAGGCATATATTTGTTTCTTAAAATTACTGCTGTGTGTAGCACTACTCTGCCCTTACTGACTTGTTCCTTTCTGTAGAACACTTAAATTTTATGTAGGGAAGAGCTCTCCACCATGAACTTCGAGTTGTGAAAAATACATAGCAAGACAACACATTAAGTGTTAATTTTGAATACGTGTAGCATAAATAATTACAATTTCCTTCTCCATATAATATAATTTCTCTGCATTCATGATAGAAAACTAGACAGCCACCACAGGCTTAGTGATGCTCTGTAATTGCTGAGAAATGTGGATTTTCCCAGGTACTCATTTCCCTGAATTCTGTCACTGTATGGCTCATTTGGAGGCTGACTGTATGGTTGCTTCACAATAACTACTGTTCAAAGCCTTAAGCAAAGAAATACACACTTAGCTTGTCAGGAGGCATTGAATTTCATCGTTTTGATGTGTTTATTTTAGAAAAGTTGCAGCACGAATTGTATTCGTTTCCTATTTATTTCTGGCTTTGACTCACTTCTGTGTTCAGAATGATAAAGAAACTTCTTGGAAAATGTAACACGTTCTCCTCAGCCCATATCCCCCATTCCAAAATATACACAAATAACATAATAAAATACTTCAAAGCCACAAAAAAAGGGAATTTCAGGCTGCTAAAATTTTAAAAATATTACCAAAAAATGCCCACAATGTATCAAGATACTTAGGAAATGTTTGTTCATGAGAACTAAGAGGGTCTCTTTTTTTAAATTCCTCTCACTTTGCTCAGATGTAGTAGAGAGGAAAGAAGTTTATTTTAGAAGGAGAAGGGATAGCTAACCTGAAGGAACTTAAGAGATGCATTGGAAGCAGAAGCTGGTGGTGTTTTAGCAGGTAGTAATGCCTGTGTGCTAGCTGGCCAAGAAATCTGAACCTATGAATTATTTAAAGGAATTTGGGAATGAACTGAGATGTCAACTGGAACCTAAGGTTGACAAGGCAAGATACTGAGATAATGCCAAGAAAGTGGCAGATAAAGAACAAAGCGAATGAAGGTTGGAACTGAGTTACAGTGAAGAAATCTCACTGATGGGACTGACAAGCCAAGTGTATATTGGTTATAAATTTCTACTTATTTTCAATCCAGATGTAGGCTGTTTTCTCCTAAGTAATTAATATGTGTTTGAGGCGTCCCATGCTGAGAAAAGACTATAAAATATGTGAGTTTTGAGTGACTATTCTAGTCATCATTTCAGGGAACAGGAGCACTACCATGTAAAACTGGCGTCTATGCAGAGCTGGATAAGCTAAGCAATGGAATATGGTTCTGGGCTTTGAATTCTCATCTCAGGGAGCTGTCTTATCAGAAAGGAAAGAATTTCAGACAGTCTCATTTCTTCAGCTTTTCCTAACAAATTATTTCCATTCTGCATGTTTGGTGGTATAACACCGGCTCCAAGCTTCCTGTGACTCCTGGACAGGGAATGGTGGGAAAATGGGGGACGTAGGATGGATTTTCTCACCTACAACTATGGGCCTGACACAGGTATTTCAGTGTCATCAACAGCATCTCACATGGGCCTTAGTTCTTGGGTGCAAGCTTTATCTGGCAATTCTTTGGCAGAATTCGAGACAGAATGCAGTTTTCCTGGGGAGCATGTAACTCAGCCATTGGGCTGTCTTTGCTGTCCTCAACCTTTCTGGCTCTTCCCCTGTGCATCTTCTTTCTTGACAAATAATGACACATAGGGCTTTTCATGAGACTCCCTTGCTCTTGAATCCCTTCTGCCCAAGAAAAGGAAACAGGACTATTCTACAGCTAAGATGTGGGAAGAAAAAGTTGTGTTAACTTGTAAATGAAATGTTAATGTATAGGATGAGTTTTAAAAAGAATTTTGTCATATGAATTATTTTAACCTATTTTACTTGTGTGATTTATGAAGTTTGTTAATACTTACATTATTTTTATACAATCTATACAATTTATACAAAAAACAAGATTTGCAATCTTTCCAATCTGTTCACCTGGAAAATCTATGGCAAACAAGTGTATAATGCTCAAGCACTATGAGAATTTCTTCCAAACTAAATTTTATTTGGATATAGAAAATGAATTATATAAAAAAATAACCAGAGAAAATTAAGTCATTCAAACCCTAGCTCTGATTTTTATTCTCAGGTCCTGAAAATCCACCGATGTAGTATCATTATATTATTTCATTTGAAAAGCACTAAAATGCTGTGACAGACAAAAGGTGATAGGATTTTTAGGCCTGTTTTTCCTGATTTTACTTGTAAATTTTAATGTTGGTGGGATCTTAGCAGAAGTAGTTTAAGAGTAGTTATAGTTTGGCCAGACTGTATGCTGCTTGGTCACAATTTTATATTGTTGGAATGTGTTTTGCCTGTGTAGAAGTTGATAATCAGCCTTGCTAACCATATGCCTAAAAAAACCTTACCTAGTAACAGTACATCCTTGCTTGTACTAATGGGATTGAAGCTGATCTTACATACTTTTCAAGAGGCCTTTATCCTGTAGAGACATACATACTAATAAGGGACAACCCTGCTAGCAGTTGTTACATTCACATACCATTTGCAACCTTTTCTAAATCATACTCTTCCTAGGAAACCCGCCACATTTGCCACAGTTTCCTTGGAATGAGACCAAGTGCGCTTTAAATTGATACAAACTTATTTGAGAAAGTCTGTCATGGCTTTCACCAGAATCCAAAAATAGTTTCTTCAGACAGAACACTTGTTCCTTTCAAGAATTTTTGCTAAGCAGATGTGGCTTCAACCACAGTTTGAATTTGCGTCTCACTTTCAGAGGTCAAGAATATTTCAAAACAGTTTTGACATAGACTCCTCTCTGGTTATATCTCATGGTTACCATTCAAAAGACAGCCAGCCTCTGCTGGTATTTAAATGATATTAATGAGAAGAAAGAGGGACCTATGGGCCTTTCTAAATCTAACCGATTCCTCTGCTGTGAGGGCAAATCTGTCACAGATGGATTCCTGCAAGTCCGGTGGCAGAGCACCTACCTGGAGTCTGTTTGCAGCTCAGCCACCAGATCTGGCAGCTGGTCTCACAGCTCTAGACTTCTATCTTTGCACCTGCAACAAGGCAGTAAAAATCCTGACTTCTTTATGCATATTCTTATTTCTAATACTGTTATTTGGTAGTACATTGATGGCAGGTTATTGATGTCTTAAAGTAGCTGTTGTGACTGAGGTCTTTGGGGTGCTTTGTCAACTTACTGTAACAGCATTGTGCGTGAAGCAACAAGATTTTGCATTTTTTGTGTCCTTGCATGGACAGATAGGTTGGTCACTTTCTAATTCATCATCAGACTTGTTTTGTCATTGCACTTTTTTTTTCTTTTTCAAGGAAGGTTGTGAGCAAAAGACAATAAAAAACCACTAGCTGTTTTTTTTTCAGATTGTGTTCTATGCACTATAGAGTTCATGCCATATCTAAGCATAGTTGTGTCCATTTATAAATGAAAATCTCTCAGAAACATGAGAAATGACCTTGATTATGTAAAAATGATCAGTTGTGATTTTGCTTCTGCCCTTTACTGTCAACTATTATATACCTAATCCATAAATCCACTCTTAGCTTTGGAAAGTCTTAGCTGATTTTAATTCATGGTGAAAATTAGAAAATTTAAAGTATAAAAAGATAATGGATTGCACCCATAAATGTATTTTTCAGATCTATATGCAAACATGTAGCTGCTCACAGAAAACAGTGTAAAAACAGCAGTTTTTAATTTGTCATCTTTGTTTTTCAGTGGCATACCTTTCATGTTACTTATATTTCTGTGAAAAATATTTTTAGTACTTACCAGAATTGTTTGCACTATAATGGATTATCTTTTTTCCATTTAAAAACACTAAAGCATTCTGTTTGTCTCATTTGCAGTGCAACTTGGAAAGTGCAGGAAGGATATTGCAACGTTCTCACGTGTGTCCCGTACTCATTTTCCTGCAGTGTTGGAAATCTGTTTCAAAGTCTGTCACTTTGGCTGACCTTTGGGAAGCCTCCATTGATGTGTTCTGGTGAGTAAAGATGAAAAGTATCTATGAAATGAATGAAGCAGCAGTGAAGCAAAACTGTGAATATTTAGAGAGAAAGGAAGTGAAAGTAAGAGACCATAAGAAGTCTTGATGATAGAATTATAATAACTTAGAGAATTGCAAATATTCTGTTTCTTTCATCATTTGAATTTAAACACCGTTTTTTGTTGTTATCGTTGTTGTTGTTGTTAAGAGTTCTATCAAAGAGCTGGCCCATAAATCAAGAACAAAACTAACAAAGCAATATACCTCGGCTTCTGTGAATGATGTTGCCAGCAATAAATGCAGAAAAATCAAGAAAAATGGTTATGGAGCCAAATAAAGGCTCAGGGTTGTTGGTCTGTTTGCACTGGCTGTACATACAGTCTCAAGAAAATCAATGCCTACATTGAACATGCAGCAATTAAGCTTCAAACAATATTTGATTACAAACTATGTGAAAAACCTGTGAATTTCCGTGTACTTTTATTGGTCTTGTTAGTGTGCAATTTCAATTTCTTTGCTTAGAAAGGTGAAGTTTGTATGATTTGTGGCTGAATTATGGGTGAATTAACTTAATATCAGTTATTCTGAATCCACATTTACACATTCAGAGGCTTTATTTTTTGAAAACTCTTCTTCAGACAGACTTACATAGCATTTTTGTTCCTGTCAGTTGAATACTTAAAAGCTTTGTGTGAAATTATCACAATCAGGATGCACATAAAATCAGTATAGTCTGGAATTCCTAACAAATATTCATAGTGTTGTGCTAATGTGATCTGTGGTGCATTCCTAGTGAAACTAGATACTAGAGGAGTGATGTGATAGATGATATGACGATTGTGCCCCAGTTTTATTGAGGAAACATCCTATCAACACAAAGGCAGCTGATTACAGCCATAAAACTTTCAGGCTCTCTTGCAACACCTTGCTTGTCCATGAGGAGTTGTGTGTCCCACCTCTTGCCTGCAGGTACAGCAACTGTCACTGTCTTGCTTGGGCGTCAAACTTTGAGTAGCATCCTTCATCTCATTCTTTTGTATGCAACAATGTGCAGGACTTTTAATTCTCATGGATCGCTGGGATATTTTCTGCTGCATTTCATTCCTTAATTTGATTTATTGCAATAATGGGTAAAGGCAGGAAATGTGATACAAGGAAACAATACAATGTAAGAGAAACAGACTTGCCTAAATGACAGTGTACAGTGTCATTTAAGATGCCTTCCACCATCCAGGATAATTGTACAGATTTGGCAGAGCTGTGAAACCTAGGGGGAACTCTAGGACCCCTTGGAGTAGCAGTGGAAAGTGTACAATGTCTGAAACGGCACTGCTCAGGTAACTGAATCTCATGCTGTTAGTCCTATCAGTGTGCCTTTGTACTGGCATCTTAAAACCTTGCAAGTTTTAATAGGCTTCATGCAGTTGAGAATTGAGGAATTTGAATGACAGAATATTTTTGTCCTTTAAACAGAAAATGAGGAGAACCTGGATGATGAAAATGTCAAAGCCTTATAGAAGCTGTGCAAAAACAATTATATGTAGACACAATTATATGTAGATTGGACACGTGTCTTGGCTTCAAACTGAGTCAAAGATGTTCCATAGGACTGTGGGTGTGTATAGGCAGGGTGGCAACTTTCCCTTCTGGAATGAGAGGAGAGTGAAATACACTTTGTATATGCGAAGTCTCTGCTTAGCAAATCCCTAAACAGTCTGCTCAGTGACAAATTCCTGTGGATAAGAAGCACTGACATTGCTACCCCTTTCATTCTTTCATTTTGCAACCATTTATTTAAGTGTGGAACAATCTTCAACAGAGTCTTATGTGGTAACAATGCCTAAAGTGTAATCTAAATTTTCTACTCAGTTCTGCAAAGACTTTTGTTCCTTCAGGAACAAACAGAAGTCTGATTTCTAGAAGACATAAGGAAAAAAAAAAAAAAAAAAAAAGGTTATTTGAGACAAACCCTGGTGGGTTTACCTGAAAAGGTTTTATCTTCTCCAGGAGATAGCACATCTAGTGTAGAATGACATGAGTCATCCTGATGGTTTTCCTGTTCAGTACAGACTCATTGATGCTGTAGCACTGCTGCTGTGTAGAGTGATCTTTTGGATACCTCAAGAATTTAAGACACTTGTGAGCTGCATTCTGCAGATCCCATTTGTAACACAGGGCTCTTCGTATTCAAAAAAACTTTACACATAGTTTTTTGGCCTCAGACAGAAGCTTGCTGTTGCATTCTTTTGTACTGAATAGAGGCTTTTACAGTGTAAATGTTCTCTTATCTAATTCATAGGGTTACTTCTAAACTAGCCAGCCAGGACAGCTGCACTTAACTGTGCCATTGTTAGGAGGTGATTTTATTTCATCCTGAACATATTGAGGTTTCTTTTTTTTTTTTTTTTTTTTTTTTTTTTTAAATTTTGTCTTCCAGAAAGGTAGAATGGAGTCTGGGAGAATGGTGTTTGTTTCTATGCACTTTATTTAGCTATTTCTGTGAGAGTTGTTTAAGGGGGCTGTTTATCTGAATCACTGTGTCTATCGAACACTGTTGTCACTTAAAGGATGGTCCTTTTCCTTTTGCTCCACTGGTACTTCCTTCCAGCCACACAAGACACTTTCTCACTTCTGCCAGTTGTGGCATCCATTGGCTGCCCAGTGAGAAACTAGTTCAATGTCTGAAATGACAAAAGTCAGTAAGTGAATGAATATTTTACATCTAGCTTTGTGAGCTGAGCTTGTCCACCAACAAGTCAGAGGTAGCATAAGGAAGAGAGCAGAAACTTCACCCACTGGTTATGATTGGAGTCAGAGCAGGGAGATGAAGAAGCTGACCCACATCTCTGCGACGTGTTTTGATTGAGTGTTTCAGAAGAGCTCAGCAGTCTAACAGCAGCCAGAGGTTAATTAATGGCAATTGCCTCAGCTGAACTTGTATTGGATCAGAGTTTGAATAGTGCATGGGTCCTTCAGTGCAAGCAGCCAAGTGTGCAGCTTCTGCTGTCCTAAGAAGTCAAGCAGTTTCCCTAATACTCTTCTTGTTATAGTCTCCAGGCCAATTCAACACCTTTGCTCAAATGAGAAGATATCAACAGCATCCCCTCCTACAGCAGCCTTTTCCTTTTAAATACTCCATGTTGCTGATAGATCTATCAGTGAGAAGTGCTGAGAAACCAGCTTAATGTGATACAGCTGTAAATACTGTTTTGCTTGTGACTATCAGAACTGAAAGATCCACAAAAATGTCAGCTTGGATGGGAGTACTGAGTCATTCAGTAAGATTAACTTAACCGTATCTCCAAGGTGGGATATACTATAAAGGAATGCATCCATCCTGAGTTATTTTAGGTAGTGGAATGGAATCTATTCCTTTTTTTTTTCTTTATGAAATTTATTTCTCTTATTTTAATAATTTCTAACTGTTGTTTCTGGTTGTCCTTCTCATGAAGATGAGTTACACTTTTAAAGCTTAGATTCTCGACTCAGTTATTTGTGCTTTAGCATCTGACCTATGTTCAGATTCTTTTGGAGATGAAGTACAGGCCTGAAGGGCCAAAAGAAGTCACAGATCCCAAACATATATGAAACTGTGCTGACTACTTTTGCGTGACAACCCAGTGTTTAGTGCGCTGCAGAAAATACAAGGCCTCAGTATTAAGATATTGCGGTGTATCTCTTCCAATTATTCCTTGCAGGAAGGTAACTGCTGAAGGGACCCAAGGAGTTTGGGGTACAATGATACACTCTCCAACCCTGTGGCTCCTGTCAGTCTGGTAGGACATGGTCCATAAGGCTTAAGTTTGCTAAACCTGAGATGCTGGTACTTCGGGGTGCCTGATCCATAGTGTCTGAGGAGAGAGACAGCTTTGGTTCTGTTTCTTTCTGTCTTGTTCACCTTTGTCCCACACTGTCTCACAGTGAGTAGAGAAACAGAACAGAGCTTTATTCAGAAAAACTTTGAAGTCTGTCTTTTAGTTAAAAGATCTGAGACATCAAATTCTAATTAAATCAGATACAAATTAATTTGCTCATCCTGCATACTTTCCTATTGCTTGGTTCTTAGTTATGATTTGTTTCATACTTCAGAGTAAGAAGAGCAGGGCTTAAAGTGTTAGGTTAGCTATCTGTTCTGAACTAAGCACCTTTTCTGCAAAAAAATTCCTTTCTTCTCAGCCTGTCTTCCTGGGTTCTTCAGTATAAATGTTACCTCACTGACTCCATTTTTTGAGGAAAATCTCCTAGACTTTTTAAGTCTAGGCTCCGAAAACTTTTGCAACTGCCTTTACTGGCTCTGTTTGGACCTAGATTCTCAGCTTTGTATGCATTTTTCTCTGCCCTTTCTGTTGAGGTCTTTCTACTGGATAGAGAACAATGTAAACAGAGAGAAAGTGTTATGCCTATTTCCGTAGGCTGGTGGATAGGCCACTTGTCTAAGAGAAAGCCCTGGGCTCTGGTTCCTTCTCACTGGTTAGATGATAGACTTGAATATTCAATATCAGATGCAGATGAATTTTAAGGGGCTGAGGCTGGGGAACCAAACTCCAATCCTCATCAGCAGCTGAAGTGGATTGTGAATTTTTCATTCTTGGCTGCTTAGGAGCAGTTCATTAGTGTTTTGGAGAGTTCTCCCATTCCTCAGCCCAACCCAGCCTGCACTTTGGTGATGAGTGTGCTGTATTGGCAGTGTAGGCTTGGATGCCCTTGGGCAAAAGATTCCAGTGTTTGCCACCTGGGTAGTTGCAAGTCAGTGAATGGTATTTGGGACAAAGTGGAATAAGTGCAAAGTGTCTGTGAACAGGATGGTGTAGTTGTCTGCTTCTTTCTAACACACTTGTCTTTTCATCTGCCTATGATTCCTCAGCTGTCCTCCTCTGCAGGTGTGAAACCTTCACGATAATTATAATGACAGTATACTGCTAAACCTCACCATCAGAAGAGACACGGTGTTACAAATGGCCAGATTTCTATGTATGTTGTATATATGGTGGTGGACA